CGTCCCCCTCCCGTCGGCGCTGGACAGCTCGGGCCGGCACCCACCGAGGGGGCCTGGGCATCACGCGGGAGGGCGGTCGGCAAGGCAGAGGCTTCGCCCTCGCGAACTCCTCACCCGGCCGTCGCTCCGGGAAGGGCGCAAAGCCGCTGCACCAAAGCAGTTCGGCCCCGAGGCGGACTCCGGAAGTCCCGCCCCAACTTCCTGTGCGAGGGCCCGCCCCACCCCGGCCTGCGGAGCCTCTCTAGGCGGCTGGAGGCGGAGGCGACTCGGTGGGTCCGCCCCCGACCTGGGCGCAGACCGAGCTCCGCCGTAATCGTTGCTGTCGGAGGGGGGTCCGTGCCACTAACTAAACAGAAGAAGACAACCGATTAGAAATGCGGGTAGAATTAGAGGTGCCTCTGTAGCGGGAATTGGATACACAGCCTCTAGATTCGGGACAGATTGCAGCTTGATGAAAACGAGACCGCACGTGGAAGAACTGAATCCCTCAGTCAAATAATTCAACCATTGGGTGGAGAAACTCAAATTCCTTAGATATATACATTTAGTGGGACTCTTCATGGAACACTTACAAAAACTGATGATACACATAGACATAAAGAATACAAATACTCGCTCGGCCGGGCGTGGCTCAGCGGTTGAGCATGACCTAGGATCCAGGCCATGGAGGTTGATTCCCGGTCAGGGCACATGCCCAGGTTGTGGGCTCGATCCCCAGCTGGGGGCGTGCAGGAGGCAGCCGGTCAGTGACTCATCATTGATGTTTCTATCTCTCTCTTTCTCTCCTTTCCTCTTTCTGAAATCAATAAAGATATATTAAATAAATAAATAAATAAATAAAACATTAAAAAAAAAGAATACAAATACTTTAAGGTATGCATTTTACAGGCAGATTAAACTATCAAAATTAGAAATACATAAAAAGTTGATAAAAAAAAAACACCTTTAAACATTGTAATTTATGAAACACTGTCTACATAACCTTTGAATAAAAAATACTAGCTGGAAAATTACAAACTGTAAAGCAATAAAAAGCAGAACAGTTCATTCTCACACCCATGGAACCCGGTGTAAAGTATAAAACATATAATAGCCTTACTGTGGCACGGCCCTGAGCTAAAAACTTCTCTTGCCACTGGACTACATAAGCTCCTATTCTGACTGGTGAACAGCAGCATTATGAATGAACAGCAATTCAGAGCCAGATCAACCTAACCCTGCCCTGTCACCAGGAACAAGCCTGTGCTCCCAACAACCAGGGGTATGGACCCATTGCCAGGAGGGTGACAAGACAAGAACTGTGGGTGTCCCACCAAATGAAGGAGGAAGAGTTGTTGCAGGACTAGGGAGAAAGATGCAATCAGGAGAGACCTACATGAAGCCGGGGTCCACAGGTCTGCACTGGGAACTAGACACAGGCTCACTTCCTCAGATGGGGAATGGGTTGTCCAGAACTCCTTATCTGATCCCAGTGTAAATCAAGGCTGCTTCTCTGCTAAACTCAGTTAGACCTGCCAGTAAAAATTGGGGTGTTTCATTCATGATGTAATGTCTAACATGTTTCTGTTGGCCTAAGACAGTGATTTTCAACCAGTATGTCGCAATAATTTTTATTTTTATATTTATTTATTTATAAATATATCTTTATTGATTTCAGAGACAGAAAAAGAGAGGGAGAGAGAGAGAGAGAAAAACATCCATGATGAGAGAGTCGTCATTGATCAGCTGCCTCCCACATGCCCTAGACTGGGGATTGACCCTGAAACCTGGGCAGGTGCTCTGACCTGGAATCAAACCGCAATCTCCTGGATCCTAGGTTGATGCTCAACTGCTGAGTCACGCCCAGCCAGGCACCACAATGCTTTTTAAAACAGGCAATACCTATTATTTTAAATTTTTTTAATCCTTACTGGAGGATATGTTTTTTAGAGATTTTAGAGAGAAAGGGAGAGAAACATAGATGTGAGATTAACCAAAGAAGTTATAGGCATATATTCATAACCCACGGACATAGTCAATAAGGAGGTAAAGGCCTGGGGACGGGGTGGGAGTGAGGTGGAGGGGGTCAATTGGGGGGGAAAATGGGACAACAATAAAGATAAATTTAAAAAAATAAAAATAATAAAGTTCTTACCATGACCTAAAATTAAAAAAAAAAAATTCTAAGGCTACTGTTCTAGTCGATCCTTTTGAGAGTACTCACTCACTCATTTACTTAAGGAGTTGTTTTGTTTCTGTTTTAAAATATGATAAGATCTCTTCTTATGTACAAGATTTCATATTATTATATTCTACTCAGAAAGAAAAACATGGGATATCTTAATTAATTAATCTATGGGATATCTTAATTAATTAATCTATTTATTTAAATTTATCTTTATTGTTGAAAATATTACAAGTGTCCCATTTTCTCCCCCCAATTGACCCCCTCCACCTTGCTCCCACGGCCTCCTCAGGCCTTCACCCCGTTATTGACTGTGTCCATGGGTTATGCATATATGCATATAACTTCTTTGGTTAATCTCTTCCCACTCTCCTCTCCCCTTCCCTCTTCCCCCTGAAATATGACCGTCTGTTGCCTGCATCAATGTCTCTGGATCTATTTAGTTCATCACATGCTTTTGTTCATTAGCTTCTCCTTAAAGAAGACCCTTCAACTTTTCCTGTAGTGCTGATCTGGTGGTGATGAGCTCCTTTAGCTTTTTCTTATGTGTGAAGCTCTTTATCTGACCTTCAGTTCTAAATGACAGCTTTGCTGGGTGGAGCAGTCTTGGTTGTAGTTACATGTTTTTCATCACTTTGAATATTTCTTGCCACTCACTTCTGGCCTGCAAAGTTTCTGTTCAGAAATCAGCTGACAGTCATATGGGTGCTTCCTTGTATGTAACCAACTGCTTTTCTCTTGCTGCTTTTAAGATTCTCTCTTTGTCTTTAACCTTAGGCATTTTAATTATGATGTGTCTTGTGTGGGCCTCTTTGGGTTCCTCTTGCTTGGGACCCTCCGTGCTTCCTGGACTTGTAAGTCTATTTCTTTCCCCAGGTAGGGGAAGTTTTCTGTCATTTTTTCAAATAGGTTTCCAATTTCTTGCTCTCTTTCTTCTCCTTCTGGCATCCCAATAATATGAATGTTGGGCTGCTTGAAGTTGTCCCAGAGGCTCCTTATACTATCTTCATATTTCTGGATTCTTTTTTCTTTTTGCTCTTCTGGTTGGGTGTTTTTTGTTTCCTCATGTTCCAAATTGCTGATTTGATTCTCAGCGTCCTCTACTCTACTGTTGATTCCCTGTAAATTATTTTTCATTTCAGTTCGTGTAGCCTTCATTTCAAATTGGTACTTTATTATGTCATTGA